GTATGTCTGCCTATAAGTTTAAGGTATCCAATGTGTTGACTTGTACACTTAAGCTTGCAAAGTGATTACTACCATAGTGTTAGCTAACACCTCTTGATTATCACATAATTTCCTTGAGTGAGAACATTAAACTTTACTCACTCCACAACTTTCTCTCTATACATATAATACAACTTCCAAAACATTATACAACATATAATATTACTGACTAGTCACCATGCTATACACATTAGCTCAACAGAACTAATTAATATTATTACTGAAAATTTATACCCTTGGCCAATACTCCAACTTCACCCTTCTCCTCATCCCTGGTTTCCACCAACTCTACTCTGTAAAATTCCTATTTAAAGACCTGTAGCAATGCTCTATTGTACAAGATAATAGTAAAGAAAATATAGGACCTCTATTTAGTTTTATATTTTTTAGAAAAGGAAAGAACTATGTCCATGTTTACTCGGACACTTATGTATAAATTAGTATATACATTAATGTGTATATATAACAGTAGTATATAAATTAAGATGATAGGTGATTAGGTAGATATTCGCGTAATCTACATGTTACTTATTCAGAGTGTTTTCTGGTATGTCGTCAATAGATTTGGAGATACTGATTTTATGTCGTTCTATAGATTTCAGCTAGTCTATTTTGGTTCAGTTTTGTATCCTGAAGTTACTGCAACCACCTTGCACTGTTGAATATTCTCAAAATGTATTTTTAACAACTTAAGAGTGGATGCCACAGATGCCTCATCTCCTCTTTGAGTCCTTTTTTGTGGGGTGAACTCTTTTCTAAGTTTTGAGGAGATTTTACTTCAAGCTTTATCCAAGTGAAGGTTTCAACACATATTTACAAGCTGCTCTCACTGGACATGTTCATTTCCCTATACAGCCTAACTTTCTGGATTCAGGGAGGCCATCCAGAACACCATCCAGAGAAATTTCAGGTAGTCCCTCAAATGGAGGGAATGGGAAAGAAATTGCTTGGAGACAGTTAAAGAATGATATTTTTCCTTTTAAATAGTTGGACAAGAGAAAAAGTAGTGTAGCATGAGAAGTGGTCTCAAAGTTATTAAGACACTGAATTTCAGGCCCAGAGTGCCTACGTTTATGTTCTGATTTTTGTCACTTATTAGTTGTGTGACCTTGGATTAGTGACTTGGTCTTTGTCCTGTAGCTTTCTGTAAAATAGGTGTACTGATACCGAGACAGTCTAGCACTGTTATGAAAGGTAATACATGCTTGTGAATACATGTACACAGTGCCTGATGTTTATATGGATGAGAAGGGAGTGATGGTCTGTGTGTGGGATAAGACTGTACAAAGTCTCATAAAAACTGCCCTTTGTAATCAAAGAAATCACTTCTCAATAAGTAACTTTCAGAGCCAAAAGAAAAAAAGGTGATTTAAAGATTTGTGAATGATGTATAAGGTTAAAGTGTTTCTAAGTGAAGTATGTGTTTTATTATAGGGGTGGAGATAAGACACCTATCAAAAAACAAAATTCCCATATGGAATTGGGGTTTCCACCAAGGAGAAAAGCACCTATCGATGACATCTTTTTAGTTGCTCGATTACTTGGAATAACCAGAGAGGGAACAAGTTTAAATTAAATAAAAAGTTGTATGACAGTCACTTCCCCTCAAGTTAAAGCAGTCTTCTGTATATCATGGCCTCAAAGATGTCATGTTCTGACAAGTGAAGAGAGGGTCTTCATTAACACACCACAGCTCCAATCGAAGAAACCTTTGGGATGCATTTGATGAACTCTTTTAAATATTCTTCAAGAGTTCCTGTGTGTGCTATGGATTAGCTTCACAAACCTTTGCTAGAGCTGAGACATCCATGGAACAGACCACCAGAAATTTGAGATTTTCAAATTAGGATAGCCCAAGCATATGATAATTGGTGTGTTTAAAATTGATGGAGCTAAAAAACCAAAATGCTTAAAGTCACATTAGTCTTTTTGGAAGTTGTCTTTTATAACACCCAGTGGGGTATAATAAACTTGCCAAATGTTTGGTGGTCCTGAAAATAAATTCGCAACACCAAGACCGGTACCAAACCCAGGTCTCTGGCTAATATTCCAGTAGTGAGAAACCCTGTGGTTCTATACATAGATGAATAATTTCTTTGTCACCTTCACTAGTTACTTCCAGTATAACTAAAATTCCTTTAAAACTGAATTCCTAACATAATCAGCAGCATTTTCCAGGACTCTGCAGCAGTTATAGTGAGGCTAAGTCAGGTGAGTGTCAAGAATTATCAATAGATGTGGGTGAGCCCCTAAAAAGGAGCACTTACCCTCACATGGCACATTGCTCATCTTTTTGCAACAGAGCTACATAAAAGGAAATGAAGGATGTTTTCATGACCTCAGTTGCCATTTGTGTGTCTACCCAAATTTATATGTAAACTCGTATCTGCAAATTGCACTTGAAAGAAAACTAATGATGTCAACATCTGCTGATACTAAACAATATGAAATTTAGTGAAGAATTTCAGGCCTTTCTCTGCCCTCAAATTTTCTGTAGAATCTCTGTATGAGGCATTTATTTTTCACTTATTATATCTTATGATCCATCCTCCTTGCTTGTGAGAACAAGAAGTCAATGGAGTGGATTTTTTTCTTCCTTTCAGATCAAGAGACAGGTATAGATTTTCTTCCTTCTGCAGATACTTTGTTAAATACATGCTTTTGAAATCCCAGCTATTGACTAGTGATATTTTTGCTCCTATTTTTAAAGACTCCCCTTATTTCCTTAGTTTCATCCTGTTCCTTCATATGCTTTGGTTTCACTGTGTTATCAATCCCAGTTCTTAATTATCTGTCTCCCATTTAGCCACAGGTGTAAATTTGCTCATGGAAAAGGCTCTGGCAGCTAATCTCAATGTATGTCCGAAGGCTGAGCTTGCTGCACGGGATGATTTCCCTGGGGGATTGTTCTGTAGAATGTGGTGCCATTTGTTGAGCTGTCTGATGTCGAAGAGGAGAAAATGAAAGAAGCTGCCAGAGAGAAGGAGAATCATGTGGGGCCTTTCAAAGCAAAAAAAGGGAAATCAAAGCACAAATTCAGATCCACCCGCATTCCCCATGCATGTGTCTGGGGGTGTGGGAGTTGGGTTTATCATTAGCACTTTTAGAGGCAAGGATGTGTCTGAATGACATCTCAAACCAGGCAGTGATGACAAATTTAGTAATGCCCACCCAGAAATCACCACCAATCCAGAACATTTGTCCATACCAGAGACTTATACCTTCTGCAAGTGTCTATAAAAATGTTTGGAATTGGGCTCTCTCTGGTGGCACAACAGGTTAAAGCACAGCATTATGAAGCTATCCATAGGCACGGTAGCACGAGTTTGATCCCCGGGCAGGGAGCTGACCCAGATGGTGCAGAAGACCTCTCCTGTTCCACCCACTGCTCCCTTCAGCAGTGTGCTTGTCAATCTGCCTGTTCTGCTCCCTACTCTATCTCTGATGAATCCTCTCATTTCACCTGCATCTCCAGCATGTACCCAATTCTGTATACATAAATAAATAAATCTTAAAAAAAAAAGTTTGGAACTGAAGGAAAAAAATATGTTGATATTGACTCCAAAGTCCTAAAGAACCCCACAAAAAAAAACAAGATTATTTGAATGTTTAATGGAATGTCTATAAAATATTTAATATTAATTTTATTAAGTATTATGTTTAATCTTCCTAAAATTACATTACATGTGAAAACAAATCATGAATTCAATTTTCTCACTTAATAAGACTGTGAGCATACCAATCATAAATGGATTCTATATAGCCAATAATTTGAAATGCAAAAATGTAAGAATTCTCCCCATTCCTTAGCACAAAAAAAATGTGTATTTTAGGTGGGATTTGAGACTGCCTTAACATTTTTTATATGACATAATGGTAGGACTGAAAAAGAAAACCTGAGACAAATGAAGATTTTTAAATAACTTGGTACCTGCTTACTATTCTCTAATTATAGAATGGCCCCTGAAGGCACAGATTAACAATAATTCTAATGGGGTGAACCAGAAATCAAGATGGGGGGGAGGGAGTGTGAGGAGGCTCAGTTTGTTCTTATTGTATACAACCCTAGTGGGGTAAGGTGACAAAGAGTTGGTATGACCTTAAAGAAATGCACAGGGTACTTGTACATCACTGGAATGACCCCAGCATGGTGCCCTGTTCTGTTGAAGGAGCATTAGCATTAAGTTGGGGAAGCAAAGCCATCTAGTTAGGCCATTTTTTGCAAGAACTCTAGGACCGCCTTTTCTCAATTGTGTTCTTTCCCAGTTGCTGGCTAGGCCTCTGTACGCCTTTCATGTGTTTAGTGAACTTTTCTCAACCTAATAGAGATTTCCATTTTTAGCAGGGAAAATTTAAAGTAGTAGGGACAGGAGAAAAGATGAATTGTCTGAATGTGTGGTGATTCTAGTCTTTAATTCAGTGACTTGACTTGTTCACATGCTTTCTTACTCTGTCTGTGAGGCAGTGAACATCGACGCCCTCTAGGTGATATGGAAAATGACATGTACTTGTCACTTCAACCCCCAACAATAAACTTAACAACAGTTTTGCTAAATTATTATTCATTTATTTTCCTTTATAAAATGTGATAAGGTTTCATCTTTTTTTTTTTTTCATTTAGTAGTGTCTTAGATATTTTTCTATGTCATTATTTGTGTACTTACCTCATTTACTTTAGTGACCCCACGGTACTCCAGTGCATGTCTGGGCCATATTGATTTAGTTGCCCTCTTTAGCTAGGCATCAGAATAGACGTTCAATTTTGGTCTTTCTGGAGGATGTGCATTATGCACCAACATTAGCCATTATGTATTGGCCACTTGTTTTGTTTTAACCCCTCCTAAGGGCAAAAGAACCAAGTCTTTCCCTACATTGATGCTTTTGTTAAATGTAAAACCTATATATGATTCGCCGTTTATTTATTTCTTTGTCTTTTGTTTTTGCCTCTTCCTCTTATGCAGTCGTCTACAGCCAGGGACAAGGATGAACAGGCTCTACCGGTAGGAAGCAGGGGTCCTCTCTGTACCTGTTCATGTGCCTGTGAAGTGTGGGGGGAGGGTGGGAAGAAAGGGGTCTCTTCTGCTCAACAAATCATCCTTTCCCTTGGAATACTCAAATGATGTGTTTGTACTCTGGGCTACAGTTAGTGTGAATTGAATTCCTACAGTCACCAACAAATTATTTTGGGGACTAGATTTCAAAAAGTTTGGAATCTAGGATATGAAAGGGTGAAGTAGTTCCAAATTGAATTCCCAGGGATGTTGAGCTGTATTTGGGGGCAGTATGGTATCTATTTAATGCTTGACATTGATTTTGTATATCTGCATGTAACCACTTTCTGGTTGGAAATTTCTTTTGGTTCCATCAAAAGAAATGTTGCATGAGACTGTACATAATAACATTCAACTTATACATAATGCCCAAAAGAGTGTTAACATTTTTCTACATATATGATACTTTGTTAATGAAGATTTCCACATCATAATTCTTACATTTTCCAAGAATTAGGGCCATGGTAACAATGGTTATAAGAAATCATTAACTCATTGTCCAGTTCCCATCCAATCAATGTGTCATACTTTGTATTATGCAACAGAGCCAGGAAATGACTTACAGAATTTTTGTGTTCAGCTGTCAATATTAATTACTTTCACTTCTACTCAAATTCTAAAATTCTTTGAACCCTAAGCACCAAAACTTAAAAAAAAAAAAAAGTATGAAAAATGTTACAGATTTTGGCCCTCTCTAGTGGCGCAGTGGGTTAAAGCACAGCACAAAGAAGCTTAAGCCACTTCCGCATGAGTTTGATCCCCGCCTGTCCCGGAGGAGATCCACATGGCGAGGCAGACCTCTCCTGGCCCGCCCGGTGCTCCCCTCAGCAGTGTACTTTGTCAATCTGCCTGTTCTGTACCCAGCTCTGTCTCTGGTGAATCCTCTCACCCTCCGCATCTCTGGCCTGTACCCCAGTTCTGTACGAATAAATAAATCTTAAAAAAAAAAAGTTACAGATTTTAAGACTGAAATAACTAGTAACAAAAACTCACTGTATGTTTTCTCCCATAGTGCTCCAATGACCCTCATTGAGAGCCCATAGAGAATGACAGAGCTGATGTTGGGGTACGGCTATAGACCAGACTCTTCTTTGAGGAACTCTTGAGCTGGTTTATCATTGAGACTTCAGTAATCCTCTCTAATTCTTCCCCAAGCCCTATAGAGATATGAATATGAGTTCTAATAGAATACCAATTATGATATATAACTACACTGAAAATTCTGGCTTCTCCATGCATCTCATACTAACATTTTATCCATACTTCCAGCTAGCTTTCATATTTGCCTCAAACATGTGGGCTATGATTGTTAATAAGTGTTCTGTAAAATAGGGACCTGTGGACAGCTGTTTGGAAATACTGTCCAAGGTAGTCAAGTTAGCCATATTTGCTTAGTGTTAGACTTAGTGGTAGTATGTATCTTAAAACTTAAAAGGTAGATTGGCCTAGCACTTTCCAAATATACTTAATGAAGTTTCTTCTAGGACTTCTCTTGTGAACCCCAAGAGAAGATACAAGGTATATAGGTCTAAGATATAATGGAATACTTTGTAAAACATTTAAGTAAAAAAAGAAAATGGAAAGCTTAGTGTGGGTAGCAATTTATTTTTACCTGGCTCCAGAAAATTTTCATGTTGAGATTTTGGACCAAAATTTCCTTAAGAAACTCATTTATCTGAAGGAATTAATTCCTCTCTTAAGTTCCATAAGAAATATAATTCACATTACATTACCCACTCTCAACTGCCTGTCTACAAATCTTAGCTGCCCCTGTGATCATCAACACAAAATCAAACAAAGAAGGAAAAAACTAGCTCCTATTCAGAATAAAAATCTGTCAAAAATCCACAGGCTTGGGGTTTCCTTTTTCTAGATTCTTGGCTTTTGATGATAAACATACTTACTGGTAACCTCATATTTATAAATTGACTGTTTCCCTCTTAGCTTTTATCTATTTGGTCAAAGATTCAGTCTCATAGGAGTTGATGCAAAAGAGCCCTCCTTTGAAGTCAGGAAAGTCCATCTTGGATTCACAACCTAAGATGGCCTCTCTTCATATGTCACTTAACATTGACCAGGGGATTCATTGATTAGTGCTCTGGCCTACCCAGTAGTGATGAAATTCTCCAAGATATGTGCATAGCGTTCCTTGGGGAAACAGAGAGGAATATTACCCCCTATATTCTATATTATCCTTCATAATTACTACTTTTACAAATGATTTGTGACATAACTGCTTATATTTTAGTATGTGTGAATACAGATACAGATGTAGCTACAAATACATTCAAAATTTTGCTGGTAGGGTACACCATCCAAATAATTTAGTGACCACCCCTGGTTCTAAAAGCCAGTAACAGCTCTTAAGAGAAGCCAACCTGAGATCCATCCCTTTATCCTACGTTTTTTCTGGGTGGCTTGGACACCTCATTTCCCTTAAGAGACTAAATGTCCTCCACTATTTAAAGGAAATGACAACAGCATTGAATTAATAGGGCTGATTTTATGAATGAGATAAACTAATGGAGGTTATTGAAGTATGTACTCATTGACTAGCAGTTAACTAGCTCAAAAAAATGAGGGGGGGGTTGTTTTCCGGGTAGCACAAAGGTTTAAAGCACAGTACTATGAAGCTCTCTGCAGTCACTGCAGCATGAGTTTAATCATCGGCCGGAAGGTGATTCACATGGTGTGACAGACCTCTCCTGTCTCATCCCTCTGTTCCCCTCAGCAGTGTATTTCAGTAAATCCATCTGTTCTGCTCCCCACTCTGTCTCTGGTGAATCCTCTCACCCCCACCCCGCACCTCTTACCTGTACCCCAATTCTTACATGCATAAATAAATAAATCTATTTTTAAAAGATTTTTGAAAGATTTATTTATTTATGCACACAGAACTGGGGTACAGGCCAGAGGTGCAGGGACAGTAAGAGGACTCACCAGAGAGAGTGGGTAGCAGAACAGACTGACTGATGAAGTACACTGCAGAAGGGAGCAGCAGTGTGGACAGGAGAGGTCTGCCGTGCCATGTGGATCACCTCTGGGGCAGGCGGGGATTGAACTCATGCTGAAGTGGCTTTAGCTTCTTAGTGCTGTGTTCTAACCAGCTGCACCACCAGGGAGGGCCCAATAAATCTTTTTTTTTCTTTTAAAGGTAGCAGTTATTCATATAGTAGGGGAGACTGTGAGAACACTTTTCCTTCTAGGGGTTTGAAATATACTTTGAAAATCTCTGGTTCAATAGTGTATGGTCATGTGAGAGAAGTGAGTGATCACCAGATAAGGTGAGGATCTTATCTATAGTGTACCTGCCTTCCGTTTCTGAAAACTAACAGCCGTCTTTGTCTTTGTTTCTCTGCTCAGGCTAAGCCACGTCTCCAGCGAGGTGGAAGTTCTGCCTCCCTCCACAACAGTCTCATGAGAAACAGCATCTTCCAGCTGATGATACACACCCTTGACCCACTTGCTGAAGGTAAACATCAGGCTTTAGTTTGGGAGCTTGTTTGAGGGAAAAGAGGATGTAAAATGGCTTCTCTTCATAAAGTACATTAATGTTTCCCTCCCTTGAGGCTGCCAAAGCCCTCTTGTTTAGCCTCTGCTCTTTGGTACATTTTCTCTGTACCCCCAAGTCCCCCTCATTCATGATCAGAGATTTGTGGCCAAGGAATAGGATCTGAAGTCTGTATGCTGATTCTGTCTTTTGCTGCCTCTAGCATGAAACAAACTGTTTTGTTTTAAGAGCAAAGGGTGCCCCCCCTTCCAGCTACAGTTGCCTTTCCCTTTCATCATCCTTCCTCAGTTTTAAATGAAGCCATGTGTGAAGATAAATTGTGAATCTTTTAAAAAAGAAAGAAAAGGAAAAAGGAACTCCATGCTGAGGAGGGCATGAATAGTTCTGAGAATGATGTTCACTGCAGAACATTGATATTGTACTGATTCTTTGACAGTGGGAGGGCAATAAATGAACTTCTCTCCGCCAAAGAGCCCTCCAAACAGCCTGGTCTACCTCCAGAATAATCATGTAATCCATCACAAAAGGCCACTATTGTGTTGTTCAGTTTTACTCATTCACAGTGAAGCTGGATACATGACAGTTCCTAAGTTGCCTGTGTATCCTAACAATATAATTTTTCATGTAGGTAGATATCTGCTCTATTAAATAAATATTGAGTAAAATCACAAGTCCAAATATTGGTATCAGTCTCTTCTCCCTTCCTTCCTGGATTTATAACAGGGCCTAATATTACACCAGGTCTCTGCCAGTGAAGGAACATGTAAGAGAAGACTGTCAAATCATGTCACATGAATCAGAGCTCTTACCGAATATAAATAATGTCAAGGGTATAGGCAGTCAAGAGATTAAGTTGAAGTAAAGAAAAATTTAAAACCTCAAAATTGACCCTCTCTCACCTCGGTCCTCGATGAATGCCAACCTCTTGCCCAGAGTAACAGGTGGGGATAGTGGGGTCTGCTCACACTGCAGAGTTATGATAATCTTTGTTTTATACCCCAGAAAGATGTATCATTATCAAGGACCCTGTTTCTTAGCCCCAAGTTTTTTTCATGAGAGGTGAATCCTTAGCCAGGCACATCCTCAATAGCACCAAGGGAATTAGATATGTCACTTTCCTTCTTTTTCTTTCCCTGAGATAATACCCAGAGAGAAAGGAAGTGAAAGGCCCCAGGCCAACATCCTCACAGCCACCAATCAGTTGTGTGACTTGGAGCAAGTTCGTCCCTTCAGTACTCAATTACTTCATCTGTAGTAACAGTTACTTTTGTCTGGAACTCCACTACAGACAGAACATTTCACACCTTTGAACTTAGGCTTCACAACAACACTTCAGAGCTAACATGATTATTCTGATTTCATACAATATTGTACCATCAAAACATCTCAGAGTCATCTACTTCTCTGTGCCAGCATTTTATTCAAAGTCACTTCTGCTTGTCTGAATTCCTGTGGTATTCTGCCATTGCCTTCTTCTTCACATATTTCTCACACAGCAGCCCAACTAATCTTCATAAAAAAATAAATCAAATTACGTCACTCCTACTTATAACCTTCAGGAACTCCTTCTGGTTCTCAGGAAACTTGTGAAATACATGGTCCACACAATCTCTTGCTCACTCCAGATTCAATTGGATTCAGTTTTCTCTCCTCAAATAGATATTTCTTTCCTGCTTCAGGTGTTCACAGGGGTGGTTCCCACCCAGAATACTTTCCTTTCCCTCATTCTCTTCTACTTTCCCTGTCCATTCTTCAGGACTCCGTCTACATGACAATTCTTGACTATCCAATATTAGTCAATGTGCACTGGATGTTTTCTTTGTCACTCATCTTACAATGTGTGTCATTATTTGTTTACCACTTGTTTTTCCCAGAATACAGTAAGTTTCTAGAGAGCAGGAACCCTCTTTCATTCACTAGTTGTCTCCCACAAAACCTGGCACATAGTAGTTACTAAAGCTCAGAAAGATACAGCAGTGTAGGCAAAGTCATGCTTTGGCTTGATATTGGTATAATTTCAAAACCTTCTAAAACCACATAGGTTCAAGATTATTCTTGGTTATTTTGATCCATCGTCTTCTCTATGATCCCCCATCACCCTAGAAGGCTATGTAAGCAAAGAAAAGAAATGTTTGCAACAAACTTGATTATGGGCAAGCAACTGAGGATGTTTATTTTTGGCAAGACAGTATCATAATAATATCATATTAATAATTAGGAGAACAGACTCCAGAGCCAGGCTCTTTGGGCCCAGATCCCAGTTCTGCGTTACTAGCTGTGTGACCTTGGACAACTTATTTAACCTTTCTGTACCTTATTTTCCTCATCTGTCAAATCAGGATCATATCTGATGTCTACATTATAGGGTTTTGTAGGAATTAAAAGACTGAATATACATAAAGATCTATCACATCAGAAACACTTCCTTACAGATTTGGCATTATTTTCATTTTTTTGAAAAATACCACATATGATTTTTTAATATTCTAAAGATTATAGTGAAAAAAATAAGTCATTTTCCTTCATCACCCTCTTTGTTTTTTCCAGTATTCCAGTTATTCTTAGAAGAAAGCATAGCTCCAATGTCTGGTGGGTTCCATCCAGACATAGTCCATACAATTCTGTATGTATGTGTCCATCCTTGCTTGCAGGTCTCGACAATCTATAGAGTTCTCTGCATTTTAGTTTGGGGAGTTTAGTTTCCAGAAGGATTGGTTTCTGTATTCATTGTCTGGTGGAGGATGTCATGTTTTGTTTCTGTGAGATAAGAGGAAGTGAATCTAGATGTCTCAGAGTGGGGCCATCAGTGATTTTCCGAAACACCTGGCTCTCATGGGGCTGTGCTGCAATTAAAGTGGTATTTGTTCCTGCTGTAGCAAGATGTGCCTTCTGAATCTGGGTGCCTGCTTTCAAGGTGAAACCTCTGCCTGGAAGATGTGGAGTGCTCTGATGGTGTGAATCTGAGAGAATGCTGAGAGCCATAATCAGTTCTGGACTTGAGTGATTAGAAAATATGGAAAGTATTTCAATGCTTTTAAATTGCTCGATCACACACAGCCAAGAAAACAGATTGCTCTGGTATTTTTCCCCCAAAATTCACAATCATTTTCCATTCCAAGAACAGCCAAAAAATTGAACCCACAGCTCTCAGAAATAGTCATCTCTCTTTTAGTTTGCATCTAATCACTTGAATTCACACATCCCCGTGCCAAACTGTCACCTTTTAACAATATGAGCATGCTGGTTACATCACCAAGTTGACAGCATGAACGCTGCAAAAGATTCCCTGTTGCTCTAAAAGATAGCTCATGAATGTTCCTGCCATGCTCCTAGCTGAGTAGTACAGTGACACTACATGGCATATGGTCAGAGCTCCCATCTGCTGTTGTCAATAGTGTGTTTTCATTATCTTCTGAAGGACACCAAAGTGTAAAGAGGCCATGTCCCATCTCACCAAATGGGGGAAGTAAAGGCAAAGACAGAAATTGCACCTCTTTCTGCCTAGGTTTGTAGTCTGTGTGCTATCGTCACCTGTGTAACCACATGATAACCTAGTGACCCTTGTCCTTCTGGTTTAAACACCAGTCTAAATCCAAGAGCCCTGCCCTATCCCTAAACTAATTATCTCATCTGCTAAGATGCAAATTTCCCATGTCTAAGCCTTCACAGCAAGGCTTCAGCCTTGACTTCTACCATGTCATTCCCACCTGAATTGCTTCCATGCTTCTGAATTCCTGGTACACAATATTCTCATCACTCTGCTTTTGGTTCCAGCCTTTCCTATTAAGTAGCATTGGGTTATAATGCTATGTAGGATTCAGGTGTATAATTAGGTGTATAATATATACCATATGCAGCTTCCATCCATCCCCATATAGTTAACCCCTTGTACTTAATTTTCCCATCTCTCTTCCCCTGCTCAAGTTTTTTGTCTTCATTGCATATGAAATTACCCAAGTTCTGGATGACTTGGGTACTAACCTAAACAGGAAAAAGCCAACTCTGCAGCTCAGAAGATACCAGTGACTTGAGTGATGAAAAGAGAAAGGTTGTGGCACTGTTTTGAATGACATTAGAGTTTGGCCATGTAGCCTATGTGGTTAGCATAAGGCCAGGAGTTAGAAGATATGGGTTCAAATCCTGGTCAGACTCTGAACTGAAGCAGCTTTCCAACCTCACTAGTCCTCAGTTTTTCTACTTGTAAAATAGAATATAATGAGAACTCCACCAGCAGAAGTTCATGATTACTATTACTCAAACTTTAAATTGTGTTCCCTGTCATATAAGAGAATCTAACTACAGAGGCTTATAGTATTTTTAAGACTTTTGTTTCTTAGACTTTGGATTTACAAAAATTTGAAAGGAAGTTACAGAGATTTCCATGATTTCCCCACACAGGCTTAGCCTCACCCATTCTCAACGTCACTTGCCAGATGGTATGTTTCTCACTAAGGGTGAATCTAGATTGGCACATCATAATCACCCAAAGTACTTAGTTACCTAGGGTTCACTCTTGGTCTGGTACACTCTATGAGTTTAGAAAAATGTATAATGATATATCCATCATTATATCATACTGATTATTTTCACTGCCTTCAAAATGCTCTGTGCTTTGTCTACACACACACATACACACACACACACACACACACACAGACCTGGAAGCTACTGATCTTTTTCTTGATCAGTGCCTTTTCCAGAATATCTTGGAATCATATAGTGCGTAGCCTTTTCAGATTGTCCCTCATAGATTTTTAGAGTTTATTTTTCTTATTTAACAAGAAGTCCAATAGTAAACAGCCTAAGACTGGTAAAGCTCCACCCTGCTGTGAAGAATCCAGACTCCTCCTGTTTGTCCATTCTCCCATCCAGAGCATGGTCCTCCCATCCTTCTCCTTTCTCTCCCCACATCATACCTGTATTCTGGAAAAAAGTGAAAAGGAGGAAGAAGATAATGCAGC